CCAAAGTGTATAGGACACTGACTATAGCAAACTAATTATAGTGTTACGACAGCGGAGGCCACGTGACCCTAGTAACACGTCATGCACTTCTAGAACGTTCATGAAACCTTGGGAGGTTGCTAGATTTCGGTATTCTTGTACATATAAGACGGTCAGGACGTGACGGCAACAATGAGTAATTGAACTGTGGACAGAAAGAGACGTATTGTTGAGCATGTGAGACGTTCGTTGTGAATTATAGCGTTTGCTATAGCGTGACTGTGGAAATTAAGTGTATTGCAAAGTTGTATTTAGAAAGAATAAACCAGTTTTATTTAAGAAAGGACTTGTATTGCTAAAGTTTCTTCAGAAAGAAACTATACGGAAAATGAACTAACGACCGGAAGTGTAATAGATTGGTGTCAGATGTGGGATGGAAAAAAAAATGGAAACGAGAAGCGGCAAATCAAACTACAGCTTAGCAGATTTGATGGCAGCAATACAAGAACAGCAAAATAAACGAGAAAAGAAACAAGAAGAACCAGAAGAGAAATTACAGCAGTGGTTGGAGGAAAAAAAAGAAACAAGAAGAACGAGAAAAGAAACAAGAAGAACGAGAAAAGAAACAAGAAGAACGAGAAAAGAAACCAGAAGATAAATTACAGCAATGGTTGGAGGAAAAAGAAAAGAAACAAGAAGAACGAGAAAAGAAACAAGAAGAGAGATTACAACATTTGTTGGAGGAAAAAGAAAAGAAACAAGAAGAGAAATTACAGCAGTTGTTGGAGGAAAAAGAAAAGAAACAAGAAGTAAAAGAAATGAAACAAGAAGAGAGATTACAGCAGTGGCAACTAGAACAAGAAAGGAAAAAGGAAGAAAGTCTCCAACAGTTGCAGGAAAGTCAGCAGCAACTACAGGAAAGTCAACAACAGTGGCAAGAAGTACAAATGGAAAACATTAGTAAATTTAAACGCGAATTAGATACATTAAAGGATGATCTATTGTCTTTTACTCAAGGAGGATACATTGACCATCGACTTAATCAGCCCCAGACAATGGCAAGCCCCTTACAGAGCCCGCAGCTAAACCCTAATGCAGACATATTGAGTTCCGTTAGAAGTCACATCCCAGATATGACTGTCAGTAATAGGAGTGATCCAGTGTGAAGGAAGCCACAGGAATTCGATGGGAAGGCACCATGGGAAGCATATAGAGCACAATTTGAGCTACTGGCAGAGATAAATGGATGGACAGAGGAGCAGAAAGCAGTATATCTGGCAACTAGTTTGAAGGGCAACCACTGGAAATACAGGGACAGTTGTCACCAGACGACAGGCACGACTATAGAGTACTGGTAGTGGCTCTAGAACTCAGGTACGGAACCCAAAATCAGTCTGAAATCTACAGGGCTAGGTTTAGGACGAGAGTCCGTGCTAAAGGGGAGAGCCTGCAAGAGCTGGCACAAGACTTGGAAAGTATGGCACACAAGTCCTACCCAACTGCACCACCAAATCTCCTCAAGTTGTTGCTGAGAAATCAGTTCGTAGATGCCTTGGACAGTCCACAACTAAATATACAAGTGAAGCAAGCACACCCCTCTACTATGCAGGATGCAATGGCCAGAGCTCTCGAATTTGAATCCTATGTTAAGTCCAGCACAGAGGTACCAAGGTTGGTACAGTCATCTGGATTCAAGGCCAGAAAAGCTCAACCTTCAGAGAGGTTTGAGGGACTTTGCTGGCATTGTAACAAACCTGGGCACAAGAGAGCTCAATGCTAGAAAGGTCAACACAGGGGAGATGCTACAGCAGGAAAGGCTGCTATGCAGAAAGGTTGTTGGAACTGTGGAAAGCAAGGACATATGAGGAGTCAGTGTAAGAAGAATATTACCAACAAGTCAGCCTCAAGAAGACCAGTAGTGGTTGGGGTTGAGGGACACTCACCAACTCCCACCGTGAAAGTCCCAACAGCTAGGTGTAAAATGCCAAGCACATATAGTGTCTATGTGACAGGAAAGCTGGATGGCCAAAGGTGCAACTTTGTCATAGATTCTGCATCTCAGCAAACCCTTGTGAGCATCAAGGTGTTAGATCACGAAGGTGTACCAGAAGCCATATAGAAGCTTTGTGGCGTGACAGGACATTCTGCAAGGTTGTGGGGACCAGTGTGGGTAACTATTGAGCTCATGGGCATAAAGGACAGAAACAAAGTGTACTTGGCTAACATTGAAGACGAATGAATATTAGGATTGGACTACTTACTACTGAGGAAGTTTCTAATTAATTTTCATAAAATAACGTTTGGGAACAACAAAGGCCAAGTTCCGGTAACTGTTAAAAGAGAGGTTGAACTAATTAGGTGTCATCAAGCTGAAGTCAAAGTGACTGAAAGAGTTTATGATGGTGAAATGGAACCAGATATAGATATTAACTCAGAGCATGAAGCCACTGGATACACTCCAGCAAAGTTGATGTTTGGTCGAGAACTTCGGTCGCCAATGGATCTGTTAACAGGACGCCAACCTTATGAAGAGTTGCCTGAAAACGTGCCAGGGTTTGTGAAAGTGT